CTGACATCCTTAAGGAGATCAAGGAAAAAGTAAACCCGGCAGAGACTGGCGTGGACATAAAGTCCATCAAACAGACAAAAAATAGAGTTTTTTTTTGTATAGCGAAGGAAATGCCTTTATGCATCCCAGACAAGAAATGGAGGTGTATTACTGGAAATGAGTCCCAAGTCCGAAGATAGTGCAGCCTTTGCAGCTGCTATAAGGGCAGCAACTGAAAACATAGGAACAGTGAAATCACTGACGCCGCTGACGACGATAGAGATTCTTGACCTTTATGGTGTCTCTACCGAAAATGACGTTTGCAAAGCACTCATTCGGGACTTTACGATAAAACTGGAAATACGACGAGTGAACTTGACCAAAGTCACATCAAGAGGACAACGAGCGGCCTTTTGTGAGATAGACGAGGCTAATGCAATCAAAGCCGTAAATGGGGCCCGCATAAGAATTGGGTGGGTTAACTGTCGCATTCGCCCAGTTGCTAAAGTGGCCCGCTGCTTTAGATGCCTCGGTTTCGGACACCAAACGCATAAATGCGGGGGACCAGACATAAGCAAGTATTGCTACAAATGCGGCGGGGAAAATCACAAGTCTGTAGACTGCACGGAAAAGCCAAAATACTTTCTATGTACATTAGGCAAAGAAGATCGAAACAGCGGGAGCCATGTCGCCGGATCCGGTACCTGTAAAGCATTCCATGTAGCACTTGCCGAAGCCACAAAAGAACAGAAATGACGCGATTTCTACAAGGTAATCTGAATAGATTTGCCTTGGCGCAGAATCTACTGCGCCAACGTGTCTTTGAAGATAAGATCGATATCTGCCTTATCTGCGAGCAATATATGAATATTAAGAATAAATCATGGTTCGCAGATAAATCTGGCACGACAGAAATATGGATCACAAACTCAAAGAAGATCCCCGTCAAGGACAACGGAAGCGGCGAGGGTTTCGTCTGGATCAAGACTCCCACGACCTACTGTGTGAGCGTCTACCTTTCACCAAATGAAGGGATTAGCGTATTTCGCCAGAAAATGGCAAGCATAGAAGACACTCTCGGCAAATTTTACGAAGAAGTCATTGTAGCTGGTGATTTCAACGCGAATTCGGCAGAATGGGGCGCCGAATACTCGGACACTAGAGGAAATGACGTGGCAGACTTTGCTGCAAGATTGGACCTTACTGTGTTAAATACTGGGAGTATTACAACCTTTAGAAAACCAGGATATCGGGAATCTATTCTCGACATTACGTTTGCCACTCCAAGGACGGCGAACATGATTGGAGACTGGACTGTATCTGAAGAGTATAGTGGCAGTGATCATCAACATGTGACATTTAGTATTGGATCCGGTCCGACTCGACCAAGCAACTTTTGCAAACGAAGGTGGAATGCCAAGAAGCTTGACCAGGAAGCGTTGCGAGTAGCCCTCGAGAAAAACGCATCTACTCTTCAAGCTGATCCAAAACTAAGTACCCGCAGAGAAACGGAAGAAACGGTTCTTAAAACTATGAACGCTATTGTCACCTCATGTAACGCCTCTATGCCACGACCAAAAAATCAGGGTGTGCCCAGTTCAGCATATTGGTGGTCATCAGAGATAGCAGAACTACGGAAAAGATGCCACGCATTACATTGCCGCGCCACAAGAGCTGCAAAACGTTTCCCCCACCAAGATATGTATACAAATGAGTACAAACAGGCAAAAAAGACCCTGAATAAAGCCATAAAATCAGCTAAAGCCGGATTGTGGAAGAAGATTTGCAATGATCTTGACAAAGATCTCTGGAGCAAAGCCTACCAAATTGTTACAAAACGACTTGGTAGAGCTTTACCAGAAGCACCGAAATCTCCTGATCTGATGAATTGCATCGTAGCGGAATTATTTCCTAAACACCCGCCACGGAAAAGGAGACAATAAGTGGAAAACAGTGAAACTACACCCTTCACTATCAAGGAACTACAAGACGCGGCAAAAACTATAAAGACAAGAAAAGCACCAGGCCCTGTTGGCATCTCAGCCTCAGTGATCAAGACTGTAGCCCTGGAATTTCCAGAGATTCTTCTGAACGCCTACAATGCCTGTCTGGCAACCGGCACCTTTCCTACTGTCTGGAAGCGGCAAAGATTGGTCCTAATAGACAAAGGCAAGGGAACCCCTGTAACACCATCGTCTTTTAAACCACTCTGCATGTTAGACATTGCCGGAAAACTGCTTGAGAAACTCATTCAATGCAGACTGCGAAACGACATTGAATGCGCCGGAGGTTTTTCCAACAACCAACATGATTTTCAAAAAGGACGATCGACGATCGGCGCGATTCGGAAGGTAACGGAAACAGCAAGAGCGTGGTAGCCTTAAAGCTCGTAAAGTGTGTCTCCTCCTTACATTCGACGTTAAAAACGACCTTAGCGGTGCGAATTGGAAGGATATTTTAAACGTCCTACAGCATAATTTTGACGTAAAGCCAGAGAATCTAGGAATAATAGACGACTACCTCGATGAGAGAAAGTTGATAGTGGAAACGACAAAAGGTCATCAAGAACACGAGGTTACAGCTGGTGTACCTCAAGGCTCAATCTTAGGAGCCGATTTGTGAAACGCTGTTTACGACGAGCTCCTGGAGATCCCCTTGCCGAAGCAGGTGAAACTCACGGGCTTTGCAGACGACGTCGCAGCTACAATCGTAGTGGACTGCAATGAGGAGGCTGAACTACTCGTTCGAGAGACCGTCGATACGATAGAGACCTGGGTTGAGAAACACCACCTAAAACTCGCCAAACAGAAAACGGAGATGGTTGTCTTGACCCGACAAAAATGGTTTCCAAAACTATTCACTGTAGACATAGGAGAGACAACTTTGACGTCGACAAGGGCCTTACGCTATCTGGGAGTAATGATAGATGAGAAGCTAGTAAAACGGTATCCAACTTGTCAAGGATTATGGCTAACTGCATCGGACCACGAACCCGAAAACGACGAGTCCTGCTCGAGGTAGTCCATTCTGTACTGCTATGAGATATGGGCGGATATCCTCAAAGAAAAAACATATCGGCGCAAAATAGCGTCAGTGAAAAGACGAGGAGCTCTAAGAGTTACCTGTGCTTATCGCACGGTATCTGAAGCAGCTGTATTGGTAATAGGAGGAGCCATTCCAATTGACTTGCTAGCATTCGAGAAAGTAAAACTTTACGACGCTAAAATAGGTGGCGAGAGCTCCAAAGAAACAAAGCCAAGAATAAAAAAAGAAACTTTACAAGAGTGGCAAAATCGGTGGACGTCAGGAGAGACGTGCAGATGGACGGCGCGTCTGATTCCGGACATTAGCGTGTGGCTCTCTCGACAACACGAGGACACAGATTTCTTACAGACCCAGCTACTGGCAGGACATGGACAGTTCAATGCCTATCTTTTTAAGATGGGCTTGCATAGCACGCCAATGTGCAAATACTGTCCAGATAAAATTGACGACGCTGAGCACACGTTCTTTGAATGTGCTCGGTGGAAGGACTATCATAACAACGCCCAGCACATCATAGACACAAGGCTCACCCCCTCAAGCCTTGTGACCTACATGATAAAACAAGAAGAAAACTGGTCAGCTGTAGCAGCTTATGCACAGCATCTTTTGAAGGCTAAAACCGGAGAAAGGGACCAGTAGTCGAAAGCAGGCGTTGCAACGCGCAGCACGGACTGGATTGATGTAATGCTAACGCAGTTCCAATCCAGTCCTCCCCGTACCATCTGCGGGGAGAGGAAAGAGGAGTGTTTTTTTAGTGGGTAAAAATCTCCACACTGCCGTCCGTCGTTGTCTGCTGTAGGATGGACAGCGGAGTATCAATGATGACGGTGTCTTATGAAGATTTTTTTTCTCACCTCTATAATATATATATATATATATATATATATATATATATATACACACATATAAACATGTACATGCTATAACGTACATATATACACACAGAATATATATATATATATATATATATATATATATATATATATATAGAAGAAAATAAAGAGGTAAAAATGAATCTTACATTGAACAAGGTATTTTATATCTAAAAATGTGTACACATCACAGAATTTTGAAACATTGATACAACTAACCAGTCGATAATCATGAATTTTTTAGTAAGAAAAATAATGAAAGTTTTGTTTTTCAAAACTGTGGAAAAATTTTTTAAGTATTTTTGCACAGACCAGGGGCTATGTTATCGCTACACATCCCGAGGCAAAAGTAAAAAACATGTGGTATAAAATTTTGTTTTGAGGACACTAAAAGGTTTTTACAATCAACGTAGCAATGTGTGGGTGAGTAAGGCTAGGGTTTTATGTTCGGAATTGAATGTGTAAGGTTATACGTGAGGTAAGGTTTACGTGAACGGATTTAGTTTTAAACAATTAATAAAAATATAAAAAAAAAACGAAAAAATAAATTTAGCGACTATATTACACGGGTTTAGTTTTACTCAATGGAAATAAATTTAGAAACGCTATTAAGTATAACTTGGTAATTTTCGCAGAGTAAGGAGGTATCATTTCTTTTGTTTACACTATTTTTAATCAAGATTATGTAACAAGATTCTGCAAAACGTCTCTGAATTGTGTTTCGTTCGTGATAAAGAATACGGGCATTATCAATTTTTATACTGTTTTTAGATCCACTGATGATGACATTAAATTGAATGTCGAAACGTTTTGAATTAAAGATTATTTTATAAATCTTTGCCTTTTCTTTGTATGATGTATCGCCCTCAAGAACTCACTCATATATATATATATATATATATATATATATATATATATATACATATTCATAAATACTAACATATATATAGATCCTAATACATCTTTATAAAACGCGGAGGTACTTTCTTAGGTTTGTCTTGCGATTGAATGTGCTTTTGAAACTTGTGTAAAAATTTTATATTGAAAAATCAAAGGCTTGACTAATTAATTTTAAATGAATATAATAAGAATTAAAAGATTTACCTCAACCGCCGTAGGACAGGATCGCATCATCCCCATGCCTGAAGCATGCATTTGACCAAGATTATAAAATGCTAAAACATGTCCGGACTGTGAGGCAAGCGAATAATACTTATATGCTAACTTGAAGTCTCGTGGCACACCTACACCGCCTAAAATTATTTTTCATGCAACAATTCAGCTAAAATAAACGTTTATTAAACCGGTCACAGACGATACTGCATAATTGCGCAAACAGTGACTTCCACGTGTTGAGAAATTATATATTTTGTCGTAAAATATTATGATAGATCTATCAGTTTTAATAATTTACTTAAAAGTTAGTGAGCTGAGTGAACCTCGCCTCTGAGTGCAGGTAAAATTTTATTAAAATGTTCCCCATCAGAGGGGACATAGTGCCAAGCAATGCAACTGGAGCGAACTTGCTCCAAGTTAGATTATAGTGTGCCATGATTTTGGCAATACAGAAACAAAAGTATGTATAGAAAAAAATATTATAGATCGATGCCTAATAAATCATCGTAAATTAGTCAATTATTGAGTTTTAATTAAATATACTTTAGTATTTATGGAATGCGCTCCATAAAATGATCCCTCGAGCCGGATAAAAAACTACATTGAAGAATTAGAGTGAAGAAAAGGTAGGAGAATTTACAAAAAGCTATCGCATTCAAAATGGAAAATATCAATGATATGATAAACAATACTAAAACCGCACGATACAAGCTAACGCGTATTGGGAATTACATATTAAAATATGGCCACGACATGAGTGTCATACAATTAAATGCGCATAAACAAATTTTAGAAGACGAATTTAAAAAATATAACGTAGCGCAAGATGAATTAGAATGTATTAATTTCGATGAATTCCAAAACAATGATGAGCGCAACGCGAGTGAAACTAAATATTGAACGATTTTACATGCAATAATTAATTTAGTTGACAGCAGACAAAATAATGCAGAAAAATATAAGAAACAGGAAAATACTGTTGATTTGCTAGAAGAAACAAAGTTGGAAATGGTTCGCATGCAGAATAATTTTGCACAAATTGAGATGAATTTACAAAAAGAAGTGAATAGTTTAAAATTAGATTTAGGAAAAAAAAGTACACAAGTTGAATAATTATTAATGCGTAATGAGCAATTAGAGAAATATTATGATTTGCTACAAAACTTAGATAATGATAATAAAAATAAATCAAATATGGATAAAAATGTGATCAACGAACTTAAATTTGAAATTAAAGTAAGATATAAAAATATAGACGATCAGACAGTATTTTAGAAAGAAAATTACAGGATGAAAATAATTCAACAAATGACAACATAAGTGAAAAAATGATTAAATTAGAAAAAGAACACGAATTGCAAAATAGGCTAATTGAAAATCTTTTAGACAGGAACGATAGACTTGATTATTATTACAAAAATCTCCAGAAAATGTTTGATGTATATACAGACTCTTCTTCTGAAAATCACAAGAAAGAAATCACTCAACTTAAAGATGAAAATAATAAGTTAAGAGAAGAAATTAAGGAAATAAAGACTCACTTAAAAAGTAAATGCCAAGAAAAAATATTATTACAAGAAACTATTACAAAATTGGAGGCGGAGATAAAAGGTTTGCATAATGAGAATAAAGATATAATGAAACTACAACAGTTATTATATGAAACTACAGCTGACACTAGAAAACAAATAAAGTATCTTCAGAAACAGGTGTATTCATTTGGAAAGATTTTGGATGCCCATCAAACTGTAGGTAAGCTAAACCAGAAAGTATTTGAACTCAACAACAGGGTTGCAAAATTAGATGAAGAAAAAGTTCCTAACACAAAAAGAAACAGCAAACCAGTGGAATTAGAATTCTTATGTCATGCACAAATAAATTTAATAGCATTACTAGAATTTAAAAAATCCGATTTAACACAAAATTTACATATAGCTCGCCAACAAATATCTTCATTGAAAGAAAAACTAGCATTAGAGCACAGTAAGAAATATCTAGCGCTTTTTAACCTTTCACAATATAATTGTTATGTATATGACATAATCTCAGATGTAGATACATCATCAGAAGACAAATTACTAATCAAAAAAGCTGATGATCTTTAGCGGAAGGTTGTTTTATATTACACAAATGTTCAAGCAATAACTTGAAACTAGAAAAGGATAGACAAGCTAAACAAGAAGCAAGAAAGGCTGCATATAGAGCTTGGTATAATCGCAAAAAAAAGAACGCAAAAGCAGAGCTGAAAAACAGAAAAAAATTAAATCAGAATTGGAGTTGAAAATAAAGGAATTATTCCAACGCAAAATTATTCAAGAAGTTAATTACAAATCTTGGTTGAATAAACAGAAATATAATAAGATAAAGGTTCGCCTGAAACATCAAATAAATGAGTTACGATATCTGAACGGCAAGAAAAAGGAAAGGTTTACGATAAAGAATTAAATAAAGATACAAATAATAACAATTGTGTTAAAAAATTATTGAGAGCGGGCGGAAGGCTGCTAAACGCAAATACCTCATATAATCAAATGCACCCCATAATTTTGCCAGTTAATCATTAAGATACTGACCAATAAGAAGCTTAAAGAAGTAATTCACAATGTACTATATTATTATTTCAAACAGTAACACAATCACAATTGATATGCCAGCTACTGCAAAGTAGAATTAATTCAGTAAGACAGCTATGCAAAAAATAGGACTTGACGACACAGAATACAACGATGGAATCAGAGTACCAATAATAAAAACTTCAAAAGGTTTATATACCATACTAAATATGAAAATGTCCCATTACTATTCAATAAGTAAATACTTCATAGAATTTATGCTAAAGTTTGGGGCCGCATTATGGAGCAAACTTGCTCCAAGTTAGATTATAGTGTGCCATGATTTTGGCAATACAGAAACAAAAGTATGTATAGAATATAATATTATAGATCGATGTCTTTAGTAGTTATGGAATGAGCTCCAGCAATTGTTGATACAACCGACAGTAATGATAAATGAAGTGCGAAGTGATGAAACAGTCCCTATAGAAGAAAGTGAACGGCAGGGCACAAGCGAGGCAACAAAAAACCGAAACTCACAAAATATAAGAAACAGTCAGCTTAATGAGAAAAATGGTTTGCCCAGATGTCAATCGATCATAGAAATACGTGACGAAAAACAAATCGTGGTAAATGACTGGCCTGAAGTTCATCCGAGAAAACAGAAAAAAAGGAAGCAAGGGTACATCTGTCAGAAGCCATGACACCGGACTTCCGTTGGCATTCTCATTCTGTATCGGGTTATCGCTGACACCAAAAAGTTCACTGGAATTGCAATTCAACCTCTCTGTGTCCTGTAACTCACCAAATCGTCTTTTGATGCTTAACACTTTGGAACTGGATCTGGATTATATGTTGTTTTTAGAACTGAATTTAGATACTTCATCCAAGTTGTCCTCATCGACTCCAGTCATTCAAACAGTAAGCTCTTATGAAGATTTAGGCAATTCAATCCTGCACTATTGAAAAGCCCTCATCGACCCAACTGTCCGAGATACTCCATCGACAAGTTCGTATAATATTTTACTAACTTCGTTCATTATGCCAGATGACTCATATCCAGCTGTGGTGGATTACGATCAACGAAAGATTTCAAATTCACAACTCTGCTACAATCTGTCTTCCCACCAAATAAATATAACGTGTTGACGTGCATATTTGAACTAGTGTGAGGTCAACCCTGAGCAGGAAGTATATGTGGGAATCGAGGAGCCTTGGAATTCGATAGAAACAAATATTCATATCATGACATTTTGTATAGTTTTGATAATCATAATTTTTAATACATCTTTATAACACATAGAAATATCTTTCTACTTATTTAAATATTTCTATATTATCTATAAGGGGCACCAAGAAACTATAAAAATAATGGATATTGATGGTGAAACCTCAAAAATTGATATCCAGTATGCACAAAACCAACCGGAGGAGCCTGTAACACACCAGCAGAAGCAATAGAGATTCGTAAGGCATACAGTGGTACCCAGATTGCTACTGTAGCTCTGCCAGCAGCAATCGTACACGATCTGCTCAGAGCAAGTCGAATTAAAACCATCAAGAAACCAATCCGATGCTTTAAATGCTGGCTATTCGGACATTATGGATCACAGTGCAAGAGTGAATCGGTCCAATTTATGCATTAGATGGGACAAGAAGGTCACAAAATAGCCAACTGTATAAATGCAGCAAAATGAGTAAGTAAGCTCTGAAAATGTAGCACATCATGCCGGCACTCATAGATGACCTGTATATAGGGAGGCAGGCATTGGAGAAAATAATGAACGCAAAAGCATGAAGATAATGCAGCTAAACATGAGTCATTGTGAGACTGCACACGACTTGCTTATGCAGACGGTAAAAGATATGAAAATTGATATTGCCCTCTTATCAGAACCTTACAAACGACTAACTGATTGGCCATGGGAAACGGACAGTACCACCAAAGCTGTTATTTGGTCCTGTGGCAAATTTTGTTTCCAGAGTGCTGTAAACAATAGCAACGCTGGATTTGTAGCAGCATCATTGACATACATTTATACAGCTGTTACGCTTCACCTAGTCTTTCTTTGCTAGATTTTGTTGATTTCTTAGAAAACGACACTACCCCGTAGCGATAGCCAGTGACTTTAACGCATCGGTGGTAGACTGGGAAAGAAGGAAGACTAATGCAAGAGGTAAAGCACTTTTAGAGGCCTTTACTGCACTTGGTGTTGTTTTACTAAATAGCGGTGATAAGCCAACCTTTGTCAAGGGCAGTGCAAGCTCAATAATAGACCTTACTTTTGTTAGCAATAGCCCCGTCAGAAAGGTATTAGATATCTACACTGCTAGTCACCACAATGTAATCACCTAGGTAATATCAACGAATAGAAACATTAGAAGACATGTAAAGATATCGAAAGCCATTGGGTAGAAAATAAACTCTTTTGATGAAAGCGCCATGAGAGTAGCCTTAAATTGCAAACCTGTTACATCAGAATATGCAGATGAGCAGACTAGAGAGCTGATGAAGAAAATGACCGAAGGCTGTGATATCAGTATGACTCGTAAGCATGTCACAAATCAAAGACAATCTGTGCACT